TAGAAAAGCAAAACATTTTCAGTAAACTCATTGAGTTAAAATGAAAAATAGATGAAACAGAAATAAAAGATTAATTTAATTAAAATAATACTGATATACATTTATTAAACTGTGAGACAGATGGATAGAGAGAGTGTGTGTATGACAATGAATAGAGATTCGTTCTTTGTATAAACATATTCAACTCAAAATTGATTACTGGTAATCCTTTTACAAAACAAAGTTTATTATGAAAGTCTTTACAGAAATATTAACATGATACTCTTTATTCATGAAACATGTAGTTATGCTGTACTCTTAATATCCTTGTTTTTCATTAAGTATAAACTAAATGAAAGTGTTTTTTAAATTATAAATATGACTGAAAATGAGTGTCATAGAGAATGTCCGTTCAGTTTGAATTAATACCGAAGAAAATAAACTCGATATTACTTAGTAGTAATATGACCGTAGATGAAATCTGTCTTAGCGTTCTAGTTGATTTATCTGAATCAGTCTATTATCATATTAACTATGAATATAAGTTAAATGTAAGCTTAGTTCAGAATACATGAATCAAAAGTGATTTCCTTTAGACGACTTAACAATAATGATAGTAATAATTAAGCAGGTAGATAAAACCTAATTCTCTCTAAAATTAATAACGTATTAATTGTGAAGACCGTATGTATCATCATTAGTTAAAGTTTAAATTATCCCATTTCTGATAGTGAAGATTAAAGTTTATCAGTCTTTGTTGGCATACATTTATCCTGCTTTATAACAGTCATTTTGAAACTAATTTTATGGAACAGTTAAATTATCACTAGCAGTGGGACTTAGTCCTAAATATCAACAGACAGATTGTTCGAACCTTCACTAAACAAACTCATACTCGTTGCACCAGTTATTACTCATAGTGACTCCGTAGCTCAGCAGATAATACATTAGAATTTAAAGTAAAAGGTACTGGGTTCAAGTCCCAATGTGAATATCAACACTAAGATGCAAATACATCCAGCTGATGGGTCCCAAATAGGACGAACTGGGCTTCCTGAAACCTACTGTTAGCCTCAGTCTATCCATTCTGTGAAAATATAATGGCTATTATATGGAGAACGACTAGAATAATGAAAAGCTGTTTGTTTAAATACTTATTTAGGTATCAACATTTGCTCATCGCCTTGTCAAAAGTTTATGGTAAACTTATAAACAACATCAAATTTGATTTTCATCTTAAGTTTTTTTAAAGTGGTGAAAATTAGTCATTTAATAATATGCAACGTAGGATCTGACACATATGTGTCAGCTCTAGTTGCCACTGCACATTGGAGCAGCAAAATTAAATTATCAAAACAAATCCCAAAGTAGTAGGATCAGCAAAAGTATCAGTGGTAATGGAAATCATCAGTTGCATAAAAAGGTAACAAAAAGGCATATGGAGATTTCGTTATTCAAAAACTAAGGAAAGACAAGCAGTGAATGCACTTTCTGTATTGTTGACAATCTTGAGCCATTTCTCTAACCCCTGGTTATGATAGTCACATCGACTCCAACCAGATAATTTTCAACTATTATTGGTTATCCTAGAAGTCAGCGACTTCATGGACTAACATCATGTCTTGGTTTCGTCACCACTAGCTTTCTTATAGTCAACTCCTACATTAGACGACAAACCGCGTAGTGGTAGGTGATGGAAAAAAAAGCGAGGAAAAATTAATGACTCAAAAGTGTTAGAAATCTACTTCAGGATTGTGAATAAACTATGGTCATAAAATGGATTATAAATAATGGACGTGATATTTTATTTATTACGTAACAGTCACCATCTACTTGTTAAGTTTGTAATTTTACTTCATTCATTAAACACTTATCCGGGTAATAATAGCTCAACAACTTATAAAAGTTCATATACCCTAATATTCATATAATTATCATTTACAACAATCCAAAAATTAAATTTCAATTTGGTCAGAATCAAAATTGGTTGAAGTTAGACATTAACACCGTTGGATGTCAGCCGGCCCAGTGGTCTAATGGTTAAGCACTCGGGGGGAGTGGGATCGTGGGTACGCGTTGCTGAGGAGTCCCATACTGGATGAAACGGCCGTCCAGTGCTTCCAAATTTTCCATTGTGGTCCATCTTCAATTCGACTCATGCTTTCAACAATTGAAAGTTGTGACAGTCAAATAATTGAAAATAAGTCAAGTACTGGTATGAATATAGATATATATTTTTTAAAAAATAATATCTAGGTTCTTTAATCGTTAATCACGTATACAAAAAAATCAATCTGGTATACAAGGTCATGTAAGACAGTTTGAAAAAGAATTTCAAAAATGTTTCTCTTTTTTTCTAAAAAAATTTTTTCTATTTTGTAAATAATCCATAAATTTTATTTTGTCATTTACGTGATAGGTTAAATCATAAACTTATGAATAACAAAATTTATAAAATTTTCTAAATGATAAATTCAATTTTATTATTCAATCTTAAGTTTTTGATTGAGATCATGAACCGATTGAAGTTAGAGCATCGTTTGATACCTGGAAGCATTGGACGGCCGTTTCGTTCTATTGTGGGACTCCTCAGCAGTGCGCACCTACGGTCCCGCTCGTGGGATTCGAACCCGGGGCCTTTGGTCTCGCGCGCAAACGCCTAACCTACTGAATCTCGTGAGCGGGATCGTGTATGCGCACTGCTGAGGAATCCCACAATAGAACGAAACGGCCGTCCAGTGCTTCCAGATATCAAACGATGGTCTAACTTCATTCGGTTCATGATCTCAATCAAAAACTTAATAATCTCCACTACCCATATACTGATATTCAGTATTATTTAAAATGATTGAAATGAAATAAGATGAGAGGAAAATTTAGCATAAGGTTCTACCCCTTTATTTTATTTTATTTTTAAGTAATGATAATCTATCATGGTTGATGATTATTTTATTTTTAAAACTATGACGTAACATACAAATATTTGTAACCATATAAATGACCGAAATTAATTATAAAATAAATATCGAAAAGTTGATTACAAGAACGGGCATGGTATATGCTATTTATAATTATCGATATAAGTAGTATGTAACACTAGAAGGTTAAGGAGAACGAGTTGAAGAGGATAAGAAGGAATTATAAACTGGAAGAGTTACACAGATTGTGAAGGAAATATGATAAAAATTTGCAAATGAAGTACTCAGTGTATGGTTCTTATTTTTACCAAAGTGTTCTGTAATTTTGTATTAAATAGTAAATTGATGTTCCCCACCTGAGTTCTCGTCCACAACAGATGTACTTTACACATTAAAATTCTAAAGGAAATGTAATTAATTTGTTTTTTGTTAAAGCTTAATTTATGGACTAAATAGTTTCATTTGAAACCACAACACTTTATGCTTACATCCAAGATATTTCAAGGAACAGATAAGATGATTTTCAATAACTTGTTTCCTTACATCACTTGACAATATGATGTATAATAGATAGGCTTATCTATTTTAGAGTTGTTTTAGCAACGTTTTTTCTATGGAATGAGATTGTTGATCTCACACCCAACCATTCTCATATGTATGGGCTTGGGACCGGTAGCAGCCCAAGAAGAGGTAAAGTCGGAGTTTCATCTGGTATGAATTACTAGTAAAACGAAATGAAGTGATCCAGTTCAATATTCAAAGATTGAAACTCTCTAGTTTTCGGTAACTGCTTCAGAGATTGGTTCATATTGTTTAAGGAGACTGAATGAATAACCCTAACTTTCTGAGTAGTCAACACCTAGTTATCCAGTCTTTGTATTGAAGTCCCTTTGATTTACATCTTTTCTACATTTTTAGGAAAAATATATTCATAACGGTAAACTATATTTTACAGTAAAATAATACTGATATCAATCTAAGTGTATTATGGAGATTATTAAATTTTAAAATTAATTCTATTCATTGAGAAACGATTAAAAACTGGGAAACATTCCCAATATGTTTTGTTTTAATTTAAGAATTCACAATAGTGTACAGCTAAAACCTCCAACTTTTGTTAACAAACTCTAAAAGGGATTTTCTAATATATACGAATTGATTTGAAATGTATTGGACAAGATTAATCATTGGTTTTGAATGAATGAATGAGGAAAAAAATGTCAACTCTGTTGATAATATAGACTTAAAGGAATAAGTAAGTTCAAACCATAAAATAAAACGTTTAACTCAGGGTGAATAATGTAACAATGAACTATATAGACCTCAATGAATTCAGATTAACATAATTATGATGGATTGGCATTTATTTCTTTCTAAATTAATCAATTAAATTGAAGTCTTTTAATAATATAAAAATTATTTTAGGAGATAATCATCATAAGAATGAATTTATTTTACTTGTCAATTAGTTTGATCTACTCTAAATTGTTAATAGTATGACAGCTATCAATTATGATTTTTTTTTCTTGAAAATTGCATTATTGAAAAGTTGATCGTTTTCAGTTATAAATTCATTGAGACATATTCAGATATTTCCATATATACTGTTTTATTTAGTATTCTGATCCCAGTGTTTTTGGATATGTATTGTAAGTTGGTAAATGTACTTGAAGGTAGAACGTGAAATTTTCGATTATTTTAAGAAATGGCTCACTTAAACCACATTAATAAACCTATTATCTTTATGAATAAACCCTATCATGCTTAAAACTCTTAGTGTTTACTATTATACATGTGATAATGAAGATTTACGAATAGCCATTTCCAATTAAATATCTTTCACTATTTATAAGTCTCTAATTAAGCTTCTCATAAGAACAAAACTTTTGAATTCAGCTGTAAAGATCTTTTATAAATTCTGTTTTGCAGTATAGTAAACAGAAACTGTCATAGTCAAGATTAAGGCTGTTTCAGAAATCTTCATAGAAAATATATCTTTGTTATTTTTATCTACTGTTTCTTGTATTTATTGTTTGTTCAAGAAAAAGTAAATATGTGGCATGTTTAAGTTTGATAAAAATAGCAAACGGATTGTCAACATACCTACTATTAAACAGTGTCTCAAAGTCAATAGGCTTCAATCTCCTCTGTTCACGTTTTCCAACAAAGATATTATCCAAAAACAAATTCAAAGGGCCACTTATAGAGACTCCATAAATTTGACAATACAGTAAATTATTGAAATGGTATTGTATACCTTTAGTACACATAAGTTCTTCTTCTAATAAAGATGTATCATAATTTTGGCAAACGAAATTCATTCCTTGTTCCAAAAATGTCGTTGTGCAGGAGAAAAAACATCAAACGACACCATAAATTTATCAAAGATATTCAAACTTTTTAATCTCTGTATATTCAAGCTTATACGCACCAACATAAAAGTTAATCCTGAAATATTGTTATATTTCCTTTTGGAAAAAACACAGACCAAAAGCTATCTATAAGATTGGCACTTAACAGGTTTTTTCTGAAGAGATTTGAGTTGACTCTAACTTAACTATTTCATAATTACCACGCTCAACAAGTGGGATTCTGTTGTTTTATGTAAGAGCTGTTACTCCCTGACACATTTGTAAATATAATTAACGAAAGATGTTAGAAGTTACAGAACAAAGTTATATGATAGAAAAACTAGTAGGCAATTCGAGAGTAACAAAGGTTTATACTGTAAACGTTGACTCTAAAACATGTTGAAAATTTTTGCTCCATAAATGTGAAACTTCATCTTTTATAATAAAAAAAGTATTATTTCCAAGATAATCTAATCAAGAGCTTACTCTTATTCATCTCATGAATAATTGGTGGTCTTTCAGTGAATGCCCTGGTACGGCCGAGAGTGGGGAGAGTCCGCTCTCCCTCTCGAAATACTCTCACACGGCCACGCGTATACAGCCTCTGCCAGGGAAGTCCTACTCATTGCCTTCTCGTGGCGGGGGTGTTGTCTACGAAAATGAGAGGACGAAAAGCGAATGTCCGGCGCTTTAACCGGATTCCAAATCAATGGTGCACATGGGCTCCAGTATCCTGCGGGAACGAATGGCGTATGAACCAATCGTTGGTCACCGGCTACCATGGGACTGCATCTCCTTACGATGCTCCACTGCCTTGTGGGTTAGACCTTTAGGTCAAAGGCTCGGGGAGTGGCCCCCTAAGATAACCACCTGCTTCGGTTTGGGCACCCGGGCAGTATCACAGCCCACACACAAATTGATGAACTCTTTATGCCTACGGAAATTACCTTTCTTGCTTTGAAAAACAAACAATTGATTCAGATTATTATCATTACAATTATTGTCATTATTAATACTGTTATTATTATTACTAGTATTATTGTCATTATTGTTATTATTATCATTATTATTATTATTTTCCACATTACTCACCCTCTTTTATACTTATACAGCGGCTCGTCTTTGGCGGAAATCCGACTGTATCTATACGTTCTCGAGTCACTGTCCGGTTGAAAATTGTATGTTACCACCGAATACGAGGACTGAAGCAGATTTTCTGAAACCACGTGCACCATTCAAACTGGCTGCCTTCAACGTTCGCACATTTATGCAGGTCGGACAACAGATAGGGCTGGCTATGTCTTTGGAAAGTCTTAATATCGACGTGTGTTGTCTATCCGAGACCCGTATTCAAGACTCTGGCGAAGTACTACAAATTCGATCTCCATCTGTCGCTTCGAAAAGCTTGTTTTACGTGCGCTTATCCGGGGACCCTGTGGCATCTTCGTCTGGTCTTGCTGGCGTTGGTGTCGCACTAAGCGCTAGAGCTGAGGCAGCACTAGTCGATTGGATCCCCATTAACAGTCGGTTATGTGCTGTTAGATTAGAAAGTTCCATCAAAGTGAGAAGAAATCGGCGTGAGAAACGATGTCTTTTCGTCATCTCCGCCTATGCCCCGACAGATTGCAGCCCGGATGCAATCAAGGATGAGTTTTACCACCAGTTATCAGTTCTTCTCCAGAAAGTGCGTTCGACAGATATTGTAGTACTAGCCGGAGACTTGAATGCTCAGGTCGGGCGTCTAGGCACAGAAGAGAGTCGTTTAGGTGGCCGATGGGGACTCGTTGGTCGCAGGTCAGATAACGGGGACCGTCTACTGCAACTTTGCACAGACCACAACCTGTTTCTGGCTAGCACTAACTTTCGGCACAGTCATCGCCGATGTGCCACCTGGCGTCCTCCCTCTGCATCTCAAGCCTGGACTCAGATTGATCACATCGCGATCAGCTACCGCTGGCGTGGTTGTGTACAAGACTGCCGCTCCTTTTGGAGTACCTATCTGGACTCTGACCATGCCTTGGTCTGCGCCAATCTTACCTTACTTTTCAGTGGACAACGAAGTGAACGCCATCAACGGATTGATGTTAGCAAGCTGGTTGCAACTTCTGTTGCAAGTAAGTATCGAACCGAGCTAGCCTCTAGGCTAGCTACCACTCCACCGAAAAGTATAGATGAGCATTGGTTGCAATTGCATGACGCCATGAAAATGGCGGGAACAGTCAGTTGTGGGTTTGCGAAACGTCCCGCCTTTAAGCACTGGGTTTCTTCTGGTTCCTTACAACTCATTGAAGCCCGTCGGTCTACTCCGGGTGACCGTGAGTTTGACCATAAACGAAGGATGTTACGTAAGGAGATTGGGCAAAGCTTGCGTAAGGACCGAGAAGCCTGGTGGTCGATGCGTGCTAATGAGCTGGAAGCAGCAGCTGCATCTGGTAACTACCGGAAGCTCTTCCAGCTCATCCGAGCCACTGGCAGCAAGAAGTCTGGTGTGAGTGAAACAATCTGCGAGGATGATGGGATGCCAATCACTAACATCCATCGACGTCTTGGACGATGGGCAGAATTTTTCGAAGGGCAGTTCAACTGGCCTGCTGCTCCGGCAACATCGGTCAGACTGTCCTGCCCTCCATGGCCGGTGACGACTGATCCACCAAATGAGGAGGAAGTCCGCAAGGAACTCCAACTCTTGAAGCGTTACAAATCACCTGGCCCAGATGACTTACCTCCGGCTCTTTTTAAAGATGGTGGTGACTTTTTGACTAAGGAATTGACGACGTTGTTTACAAAGGTTTGGGAACTAGAGTGTGTACCAACGTCATGGAATGAGTCGATAGTTGTCCCTATCTTTAAAAAGGGTTCACGTCGTTCTTGTAACAACTATCGGGGGATAAGTTTACTTCCGATTGCGTCCAAGCTATTGGCTTCCGTCATTCTTCGTAGGTTGTTCAAAACCCGAGAAAGATTGACTCGCGAGGAGCAGGCTGGGTTTCGTTCTGGTCGAGGATGTATTGATCATATCTTCACCCTCCGCCAAATGTTAGAACACCGCCATACTTTTCAAAGGCCAACAATCGTAGTGTTTCTTGACATCAGGGCTGCCTTCGATTCGTTGGACAGGACTGTTCTCTGGGATTGTCTATTGAAGAAGGGTGTGCCTGAGAAGTTTATTAACATCCTGAAAGCCCTGTATAAAAACACCTCAGGCAGAGTGAGGGCATACAACCACCTCTCTCCATTGTTCCATTCGAGCAGTGGGGTTAGGCAGGGTTGCCCAATCTCACCATTCCTCTTCAACTTTGCCATCGATGACATTCTGGAAACAGCTCTGATGAATGTAAGTAATGGTGGTGTGGATCTGTTGCCTGGAGAAAGACTTCTCGACCTTGAGTATGCGGACGATATTGTCTTACTGTGCGATAATGCCCAAGGCATGCAATCCGCACTTAATCAGTTGGCAATCAGTGTCCGTAGGTATGGTATGTGCTTTGCACCTTCGAAGTGCAAAGTACTTCTACAAGACTGGCAGGATTCTAATCCTGTACTCACCCTGGACGGTGAGCAGATAGACGTAGTTGAGAAGTTCGTGTATCTGGGTAGCTGCATAAGTGCTGGTGGGGGTGTGAGTGATGAGATCAATGCACGAATAGTGAAAGCCAGAGCGGCTTATGCCAATCTGGGCCACCTTTGGCGCCTTCGTGATGTTAGTCTGGCTGTAAAAGGTCGGATCTACAACGCGTCGGTGAGAGCAGTTTTGCTCTATGCTTGTGAAACCTGGCCTCTCCGAGTTGAGGACGTTAGACGACTCTCTGTGTTCGATCATCGCTGTCTCCGAAGGATTGCTGACATTCAGTGGCAACACCATGTCAGTAATGCAGAGGTTCGGCATCGTGTGTTCGGGCACAGAGATGATAACTCAATTGGTGTCACCATCTTGAAACACCGACTTCGGTGGCTTGGACATGTTCTCCGAATGTCGTCCCAGAGAATTCCACGTCGTGCATTATTTGCCGACTCTGGGACTGGTTGGAAGAAGCGGAGAGGTGGTCAGTGCATGACATGGTGTCGTGGCATGAAAGAAAGCTGCAAAGGACTGGCTTGTGTTGGTCCTTCACGACTCCCTGGTTGGGGTCCGAGAGATGGTGCTACACAGTGGCTAGAGACGTTATCAGATATGGCTCAGAATAGAAGCCAGTGGCGATCCTGCTGTAACCTTCTTTTACTTTCTTTCTAAAAAGTGGTTGTGTCTCCTTTACCTGAAAGATTTCTTCTGATTGTACCTTTTCGTTCCGTCGTTACTACCACACTACCTTACTCCAATCTCTTCGTCATTGTTCTCTTTTTCTTTTGCGTTCCCTAGTTTTTTTTTTCTTTCTATTTCTCTTCGAATTTTCATTGTTTTGTGTGGCGCATATATATTGGCGCTCTCTTGTACCAATATTTATGTGTTCAAATAAATAAATAAATAAACAATGGATTTAGCAAAAGGAAATACACATCATATTTTCAGCAGCTCCATCAGTAACAATGATTCAATAAACAGAATGTCTTAACAAACCTGAAGTATGTTGGTTATAACAAAAAAGATTATAATTACTATTCAAATTCAACTTAATAATCAAAACAAAATAACAAACACATTGGCAATGTCTTTTATTTCAGTCAAGAAAATAATAGTCAAAAGTGTTGTCCAGAAAACATCATTCTTCAATATTGATGATGTTTAGGGTAATGAGTAGTATAAAAATAAGTAATTAAATATTTTGTTTATTCTTGATCAAACAATGATGTAACAAGTAACATGTGCATTGCAAAACTATCTTCTTATCGCATTGATTATTTAATTTGTATAGAAAATGTCAGTTTATTAAAATCTGAAAATAAAGAAATTAGTGATTACTAGATTAATGGCAACGTTGAATGATCTTCATGTGATAGAATCTTTAAAATTACTATCTTAAATGATTCAAATGGCATGTTCAAAATTTTTTTCAGATAAAAAAATTCATTATGAAACTTAAGCAATTTCTTAAGATTTTGCATTTATTTATTCAGTTAATGTAGGGAGGTTTTGGTAATTATCGAATTTTCGCACTTCACATGACGACTTGACATAGGACAATCATCGGAAACTAGAAAAAACAGTGGACAGCTGTTAATTCTTAATATATGACTTTCCAAAAATACAAGCCCATGACCCCGTTAGGAATCAAACCACAGACCTTTGTTTCTGGCTGCGAGAGTCTAACCTTTGAACTACTAGATCTGTGTTCAATAGCTTTTATTTTCAACCTACTGTTACTGTTTGTATTTTGTAAAACAAACTGAATAAAATGACAATAAATCTTATTTGTTTAACAGTAACATTTGGAATGACGAGTCACTACATGTACCACTTGCCAGTCATATTCTTTTCATCTTATCGTTTTTTGTATTCAACTCCACTT